CAGGTGGGTGTTGAACAACGAGAACACATGAACTCAGGGAGAGGAGTATCACACACAGGGGACAGTTGGGGGGGGTAGGGGAGAGACAATGGGGGTGGGGAGGGAGGGGGTGGTGGGGAGGAATAACATGGGGAGAAATGCCAGATATAGTATGCACCTAAATTAAAATAAATTATTTAAAAAAATACACTGGAAACAACTTAGGAGAAGAAATAAATAAGATTTGTTCATTCAATGAAATTTATAGCAGTAAATAAATGAATTGCAGATGCACAGGGATAATATATTGTGTATTAAAAACAATATAATGGATTAATTTTACACAAGCAAATATGCACATACATGAAACCACATAAAAGCAGGGAAAGCATTCAGGATTGTGGCTATCTACATAAAGTTAGAAGATATTGGTAAAGTTTGTTTTTTCTTTTGTAGGATGAAATATTTCATAATAAATAGTGTCAGTGATGACAGCTGTCATACCACTGCTATGTGTGGGGTCTAAATGCAGGGTCTGCTGAGAATTATGAAACCTGGTGTTCTGAACCCCAAACTTTGTTTTCCAATTTAATAAATATCATTGCATAGATCAGGGGAGCATCTCCTGTGCTTATGAGGTCTTAACCAGCAATAGGACACTTGGGATTGCTGGTAGTCCTTGCCATCAATTCTTTCCAACTCAAGATAGCATAAAGGGTGACTAAAGTCAACAATAACTTACTGTACATTTTAAAATAACAAAAATAGTATAAATGGATTGTAACACAGAAGATAAATGCTTGAGACAAAAGATACCCCATTTACCCTGATGTGATTATTATACATCGTAAGCCTTTATCAAAATACCTTATGTACCCTATAAATATATACCCCTACTATGTATCCTCAAAAATTAAAAATTAATAAAATTTAAAACATATTTGAAATAATAAAACTATACAGTGACTTAATGGGATGATTTTCTTATCAATGAAAGGAGCATTTAAGCAGATGGCAAGAGACCAAATGGAGTAAATTAAAGTGACCTCTTGTAATATACAGATCATTGTTCTACCAATTCCCTTTCAATCCAAAATGACTGTGATATTCAGTTATTTTCTTGGGATTTTCTTTTAGCCAACTTTCATCCCACTGATCATGCAAGCATCTGAGAATTATTTTTCCAATTTTTCCAATTAATCGATTGCTTCAATTATTACCCATGTCTGAGTATTCTTGACTTCTAAGTCATGGCATTCATGAATTTGCTCTCCCCATTTGCTTATTAATATTATTTATATTTCCCTTCCTTTTTTTACAGGCTAGTTAGCATGTCTAACAGAATTATATCAGCCAGAGGCCACCAACCCTTAGTTGGTTTTTTGTTCTCAAAATCAGTATTTTATTATTGTATCAATCTTCTATTCTCCAATATAGAGCTAACTTACTTAGAATGAGTCTTGAGACTAGAAAAGAATACTGCCTCAGCAAAATTCCTGGATTTGATAGACCTGCTAGACTAGTCTATTTATGCTAACCGCAAAGATATTACAGTAATCAACCAAATAGCAACTGAATACAGGGAAATGGGTTATACTGATCTCAGCAAAATGAAGTTTCAAAGTTTCCCTCTTCAACTCTTACCTATATTTATCTGCTCTCATAGCCAGATAGCTAGGAAATTATTTATTTCTATCCTAAGTCTTTCATCCTATAGTATAAAGTCATTTGTTTCTTTTTTCTTTCTTTTTTTTTTTTTTTTTTTTTTTTCTCTACAACTGAGTATCTCAATAAGTGGAATAATTTTATTTTGTACAAAATAAAAAACACAAATTATTTCCAAAAAATCAAGGGCATATCAATCATGTACATCACATACAATACCAGTCATACTGATGGACTCCAATAAGCATCATAAAACACGTTGGCAGCTATCCTTGCTATGCTAAAAATATAATATTTTGATAAAAATAATGTGCCCAGTTTGCTCAAATAAAAGACGTTAACAGCCACATATTTCTCTGTGTTGGATGGCAATAGTTATAATGAAAGCGAAATACATTTTGTGCAGATCAGTAGTACTCCCCAAACAATTGACACATGATTTTCTGCTTATTGCAATAGTAGGGCAACTAGTCTTTGATATTCACTATATAGAAACAAACATAATGCACTATTAAAAACATAATATTGATTTTATTTTACTGCTCTGTTGGAAGAGGACTACAAATTATTTCACAACCTTCAACTATATACAACATAATCTGCAGTACTCAGGACTGCTAAAGTTTGCACCTACTTAAGATAATTCTGAATTTTTTCTAAACAACTATGAATGACTACATTGAGCTAGAGAGTGTGTTACTTTACAAAGATCATGGTGATACACTCCTGAAAACTTCATCTGTTCATTTTACTTCAGCTACATGCAAATAGTTTTTTTGTGGCTGAAGGAAGGTGTTTGCCTTCTGATTATAAAAAGGTCAAACCATAATTTTTTAAAAGACATACCTCAAAGGAAAATATGATAAATAAATAAATACCAACATTCCTTTGGAAACAACCCCTTTTAATTATCCCTAGGACTATGTTGCATTATAATTTACATTCTGGCCAGCTGAGGTTCAAATTAGATAGCTCCATGGGTGATAGGAACCCTGAGGCCCATGAAGATCCTCAGGACATAGGTGACTGTTTCAATTATTTCCCTTGGATGGCTTATCCAGCCTTGGTGTCAGCATGGGGCAAAGTATTGGGAGTGTGATGCATGTAGCCATGTAATTATGCATTTAAGCATATTTTCCTAATTAATTTAGATATGCCTGAAAAACTTACATGACTTGAACCTGAAAATTCCTGTGGTCTAGTCATTGGATATAATCAATGATCCCTGAAGTGAGAGTTGGTCCCCTCATTCACAAGCTTTTGAAAGATGCCTTTGCATAGCGAAAATCATATAGCTGAAATTTCAAAATTTGGGGAATACTACTTATCTCTTTTATAATATTAATTTTCAGTTAAAAATGAGGCTGAAAATGTTTTCAGTAACTAATAGTCTGGTTGCTATCTATAGCAGCACAAAAGAATATGCAGGAGCATAAACATTGCTCCTACCATATGATAAATGACTCCTGAAGCACACCCAGGCAGTAGTCAGAGAAGGTAAGGAGCAGAGCTGAGAAGAACAGAAACATGATAGCTAAAGTTGTTGATATTTATGCCAAAATATTCCCTAATGAGACAGCAAAGTGGGCCAACTCTTAGACAAAGAAATGATTCAGATGCATTCCTAGAGAATCTCCTATTCAAGAATGTGCTTATTATTCTTCATCTCAATGTCTATCCACCCACAAGTGGCCTCATGCCTTGATTCCTGACCTGGAACACATATCCATGTTTAGCAAACAGTTATTATTTTTTAACTCTGGGAAAATATTGATTCCTGCTCATCTTTCTTTGATGAATATTCTTCAAAATTATAATTTACTGGAAAAAAAAATGAAACCATGGCTCATTTTCCTTCATGAGTACATGCTGTTTTATTTTGATGTGTAGAGTGACACTGTTTCCTCTCTGGAAGGTCAGGCCACCTGCCCTCCCAGGCTCCTTATACAAATAATTGTGGTGCCTTACAACATGAGCTGAAGGTAGGCTCATTTGCCCTTTTGCGATTCAGTTTCCAAGTTAGAATTAGATGTTAGTGAAGTCAAAAAGAGACAATTCTTGCTAAAGCAATAACCAGTGGGGTTTAAAAAACAAACAAGCAAACATAAACACCCCAATATAGGAATATCAGTGAAGTTAAAATAGCCAGCTTTAGACTCACTCCTGAGGATGCAGAGTTCTATAGAATAACAGTAGTCTGGTCACCAAGTGAAAGACACTTGCTTGTATGTATAGATATCTAAGGTTTTCAAACAAAGGCAGAATGGTTTAAAAGCAGAGTAGAAAAACTGAAGGAATCAGCCAGAAAATATAAAATGAGCTAAACTAGACTTTGCTAAAACCATAAAACTTTCCCAAATAAGTCATACTCATTGATTTCTTGTAAACTTTCATTAAATGGCAGCAAATTTCATTGATACATTACACAATTATTTTGTAATTAGTTATTTTTGTAAAAGAGTTATTTAATTTGGGCTGGGCGTGGTGATTCACGCCTATAATCCCAGCACTTTGGGAGGCCGAGGCGGGTGGATCACAACGTCAAGAGATCGAGACCGTCCTGGTCAACATGGTGTAACCTCAACTCTACTAAAAATACAAAACATTAGCTGGGCATGGTGGTGCATGCCTGTAATCCCAGCTACTCTGGAGGCTGAGGCTGGAGAATTGCTTGAACCCAGGAGGCGGAGGTTGCGGTGAGCCGAGATCGTGCCATTGCACTCCAGCCTGGGTAACAAGAGCGAAACTCCGTCTCAAAAAAAAAAAAAAAAAAAAAAGTCATTTAATTTCTGGTTTATCTTCCATTTATGAGGGATGTGCTGTGAAACAATGGGGTCACCATCTGATGGCAATTATAGGCATTAGCCAATGTAGTTCAGGAGAAATTCCAGACTTTTAGATTCAGTCATGCAGTGCATGATATCGAAAGCAGATATAGAGATACAGAAGCATATATATTATATGAAGTAATTCAAAGGCACATGTAATTTATAATATTAATATTAATTTTAATATGAAATATCACCTCTAAAAGCAGGCTCGTTTCTTAGATTTTAAGGCACAGCAAGAAATAGTTAATACTTACTGGGTAAATGTTCTTCAAACTTTATGATGAATCAATGTACTATGTTGTCTCGTCATGTAAATTCCTCACAATTAAATGCCAGGTAGTCACAGCATATGCATGTTAGGACTATACAAACTGAATGTAGTCTTAAAATATGATTGTCTTTGGAATTTAAAAACACACTCTTGTAAAGACTGATATGAATAACTTTTGATTAAAAAATTAAAATAACAGAGCTAGATTGTCTTTGAACCAAAAGCAATAGATATAAAATCATAGTGGTACTTACCACAGTGAAATTCATAACTTTCAATATCCATATTGTCATGGCTAAGTTAACTATCATGGTAACCAACAGCAGAAGGACAAAGAAGTATAAGCACCTCTTTCGCCATCCATAAATTCCCACTGGGTAAAGTTGTGCATTTTCTGTCCTTGGCAGGTTATTCTGTTGTGTTGCTAGTATGTATTGTTCTCGGGTCATCTGAAAAAGAAAAAAGAAAGGAAAAGAAAGAAGGAAAGAAAAGAAACATTAAAAAAATAAACCCATGATAGTTTTTTTTGGAAAAAAAAAGACACAATGTACCTTAAAATAATGGAAAGTGAGCGTTCAAATAATTGTTGTTGTGTAATTAAAATGCTACAGAAATCTTCAAATAATTTTCATCAATATAGATTTTTAGAGCTCTTTAATTCAATGTTATATCCACCAGATATACATTATTTCCAGTCAGATTTGCCCAATTTCAACAGTAAGCTTTTCTCTTGGGATGCTCAGAAGACTACCAGGTCTACCTCCAGTTACCAGTAGCCAAAGAACTCTACTCATGTCCAAGTGATACAGTTTGGATCTGCGTCCCCGTCCTAATCTCATGTTTAATTGTAATCTCCAATGTTGAAGGTGGCGCCTAGTGAAAGGTGATGAGATCATGAGGGTGAACTTTCCCCTTTGGTGCTGTTCTGGTAATGGAGTTCTCAAGGTCTTAGTTGTTTAAGTGGGTGGCACCTCCCTACTCTCTCTTGGACCTGCTCCTGCCCTAGAAGACGTGTCTGCCTTCCCTTTTCCTTCCACCATGATTTTAAGTTTCCTGAGGTCTCCCATAAGCAAAAGCCACTATGGTTCCTGCACAATCTGTAGAACAATGAGCCAATTAAACAACTTTTCTTTATAAATTACCCAGTCTCAGGTATTTCTTTATAGCAGTGCAAGAATAGATTAATACACCAAGCCACTCTTAGACTATGCTTTACCTATTTTGCGGTAGACAGAGACTAACTACATCATGAGAATTTTCCATACTTTTCTCTAAACATGTAGGATACAAATGGTTCAGTATATATGCTTTAATAAAAATGTCAGTGAACTTTCAAGAACCTATTAAAAAAACACATTTGTGTGGATTTATTTAGACAATAGCTATCAAATTTAAAGTTTTAATTCAGAATTCTGTAGGTTTAGTTTTATTTCAATGAGTTATCAGAAAAAACACTGAACTCTAAGAACACCATATACTATACTATACTATACTATTTCATAATGTAATAAAATTAGAAGTCAGTTTTGAAAAAGTGAAGATGATATTCTTCACTTTTTAATTCTATATTTAAACTGAATGCATAAATTCAGGTTCTAGAATTCTTTCAATAAGCAAATGAATTTTTTACTGTCTTATACAACTTAGAAATATAGATAAGAGTAAAAAATATGAATCAGTACTGAATATGTCTTAAGTGTACAGTTTTCAGAATAACATATTTATTATCTGAAGGATGGAAAGTGATTTTATAATTTTCTATAGGACAATAATTGTTCGGTATTATTTCTTCAGTTCTTTTCTCAGATCACTTTTATTCTATATTCATTAAATGATTAATATAACAGAAGTACTTCTGAATAAATTACACACAGGTAAAACTAGCACTAATAAGTAATTAAAATTATATGTTGTCATATAAAATATATGTACTACAAAATTATTGTTGTAATGTTCATTGACCCAATCCTACTGCAGATAAAATATTACGATTTTTTCTTTCCCATAGGTTTTTGAGGAACAGGTGGTACTTGATTACATAAGTTCTTTTTTGGTGATTTGTGAGATTTTTGTGCACGTATCACCTGAGCAGTATATATAGAACCTAATTTGTAGCCTTTTATCTTTCACCCACTTCTGACTGTTTCCCTGAGTCCCCAAATTTCATTATATCATTCTTACTCCTTTGCATCCTCATAGCTTAGCTCCCACTTATGAGTGAGAACATGGAATGTTTGGTTTTCCATTCCTGATTTACTTTCACTTCATTTAGAATAGTCTCCAATCCCATCCAGCTTGCCATGAATGCCATTAATTTATTCCTTTTTATGGCTGAGCAGTATTCTAACTACTCATACAATGCATATGCATGTATGCATGTTGGAATACTACTCAGTCATAAAAAGGAACACACACATACACACACATAAACACACCACAGCCTCTTTATCCACTCATTGACTGATGGGCATTTGGGTTGGTTCCATATTTTTGCAATTGTAAATTGTGCTGCTATAAGCATGAATGTGCAAGTATCTTTTTTTTGTATAATGACTTCTTTTCCTCTAGGTAGATACCCAGCAGTGGGATTGCTGGATCAAATGATAGTTCTACTTTTAATTCTTTAAGGAATTTCCACACAGTTTTCCATAATGGTTGTACTACTTTACATTCCCACAAGCAGTGTAGAAGTATTTCCTTTTCACCACATTCCCACCAATGCTTACATTTTGATTTTTTGATTATGGCCATTCTTGAGGTAGTAAGGTGGTATTGCATTATGGTTTTTATTTGTATTTCCCTGATGATTAGTGGTGTTGAACATTTTTTCATGTTTGTTGGCCATTTATATATCTTCTTTTGAGAATTGTCTATTCATGTCCTTAGTCCTCTTTTTGATGGGATTTTTTTTTCTAGCTACTTTGAGTTCCTTGTAGATTCTGGATAATAATCCTTTGTTGGATGTATAGGTTGTGAAGATTTTCACTCACTCTATGATTTGTCTGTTTACTTTGCTGAGTGTTCTTTTTGCCATTCAAAATCTCTTTGGTTTAAGTCCCAGCTATTTATCTTTGTTTTTATTGCATTTGCTTTTGGATTCTTAGTCATGAAATCCTTGCTTAAGTTAATGTCTGGAAGGGTTTTTCCTATGTTATCTTCTAGAATTTTTATAGTTTTAGGTATTAGATTTAAGTCCTTTATCATCGTTGGTTGATTTTTGTATTAGATGAGAGAAGAGTTTCCAGTTTCGTTCTCCTACATGTGGTTTGCCAATTATCCCCACACCATTTGTTGAATAGGGTAACCTTTCCCCGCTTCATGTTTTTGTTTGCTTTGTTGAACACAAATAGACAATCTAAGGTCACACCACAAGGAACTAGAGAAAAAAGAAAAGCCAAACCCAAACCCAGTAGAAGAAAGAAAATAACAAACATAAGAGCAAACGTAAATGAAATGGAAACAAACAAAAATACAAAAGATACATGAAATACAAAGTTGGTTCTTTGAAAGATAAATAAAATTAGCAACCAAAAAACGAATAGTGAAGATCCAATGAAAATAGGAGATATTACAACCAACACCACTGAAATACAAAAGATCATTTAAGGCTACTATGAACATCTTTATGTGCATAGAATATAAAACCTAGAGGAGATAGATAAATTCCTGAAAATATACAGGAATGTATATTCTTGTAAAATATAAAATATATTTATATTCCTGTAAAACTACCTTAAATCAGGAAGAATTAGACACTCTAAATAGAGTGATAACAAGCAGTGAGCTTGAAACTATAATAAAAAATTACCCACAAAAAGACTCCAGGACCAGATGGATTCACAGCTGAATTCTGCCAGACATTCAAAGAAGGAATTGGTATCAATCCCACTGACACTATTCCAAAAACTAGAGAAAGAGCAAGCTGGGCACAGTGGCTCACACCTGTAATCCTAGTACTTTGGGAAGCCAAGGCAGGTGGATTACTTGAGGTCAAAAGTTTGAGGCCGGCACAGTGGCTCACACCTGTAATCCCAGCACTTTGCAAGAACATGACAGGCAGATCACAAGTTCAGGAGATCAAGACCATCCCAGCCAACATGGTGAAACCTGTCCTCACTAAAAGTACAAAAAATTAGCTGGGTGCAGTGTTGCACACCTGTAATCTCAGCTACTGGAGAGGCTGAGGCAGAAGAAACACTTGAACATGGGAGGTGGACACTGCAGTGAGCAGAGATTGTACCACTTCACTCCAGCCTGGTGACAGAGCAAAACTCCATCTCAAAAATAAATAAATAAATAAATAAATAAATAAACAGTTTGAGACCAGCCTGGCCAAGATAGTAAAACCCTGTCTCCACCAAAAACACAAAAATTAGTTGGGCGTGGTGGTGGGTGCTTATAATCCCAGCTATTTCGGAGGTTAGGGCAAAAGAATTGTGTCAACCTGAAAGGCGGAGATATCAGTGAGCAGAGATTGATTTCAGTGAGCAGAGATTGTGCCACTGCACTCCAGCCTGGGTGACTGGGTGGCAGAGTGATACTCCCTCTCAAAAATAAATAAAAAATAAATAAGTAAAGAAAAAGAGAGAGAGATAGAAATAGAGAATCCTCCATAAATAATTCTATGAAGCCAGTATCATCCTAATACCAAACAAGGAAAGGACATAACAAGAAAACAAAAACAAAACAAAACAAAACAAAACAAAAAACAAAAAACTACAGACCAATATCCCTGATGAACACTTATGTTAAAATCCCTAACAAAATACTAGCTACCCAAATCCAACAGCATATAAAAAATATAATTCATCATGATCAGGTGAGTTTCATGCCAGGAATGCAATGGCTTAATACATGCAAGCCAATAAATGTGATACACCAAACAGAGACCTCGGAGGCAATGCCACACATCTACAACCATGATCTTTGACAAACCTGACAAAAACAAGCAATAGGGAAAGGATTCCCTGTTTAATAAACAGTATCGGGAAAACTGGCTAGCAGTTTGCAGAAAACAGAAACTGGACCCCTTCCTGACACTTTATGGTAAAATTAATTCCAGATGGATTAAAGACTTAAACATAAGACCTAATACCATCAAAACCCAAGAAAAAAACCTAGGCAAAACCATTCAGGACATAGGCATAGGCAAGAACTTCATGACTAAAACACCAAAAGCATTGGCAAAAAAAGGCAAAATAGACAAATGGGACCTAAATAGACTCCAGAGCTTCTGTACAGCAAAAGAAACAATCATTAGAGTGAATCGGCAACCAACAAAATGGGGAAAAATTCTTGTAATCTACCCATCTGACAAAGGGCTAATATCCAGAATCTACAAAGAACTAAAACAGATTTACAAGAAAAATAGAAACAAACCCATTCAAAACTGAGTGAAGGACATGAACAGACACTTTTCAAAAGAAGACATTTATGAAGCCAACAAACA